ACCCCTAACGGAAACGAACCACCAACCTATGTTCGACGTGTCTCACTAACACTGCACCTTACACAACCTGTTTGACCCACCACTCCACAAACTATTCTGCGCTCTATCGCCTTCTTTGCCTCGTACTCAAGTTCCACGTCATATAATAACCTATTGCTACAGAAGGTCAAACCCGTCCATAATGTCTCACAATAGTTTATAAATCTGCAACTGAACACCGCTCGCTACTGGCATTACATGGGGGCGCACTAGTCCTTAGCCGAGGTTGACACGATCGACATGTCTCCTCGGCTGCTTGAAGCTGCGACGACAGCGACGTCGCTCTAGTCGCAGCTTGCCTCTTTGGAGGCCCCTCCTTAAATATATATATGGGGCCGTCAATCGACAAGAGCTCCGGAAAATCAAAATCTATTGTGGAATTACAGATGAACATAGATACGATGCCTCATTCCCTTATTGGATTGGCCAACGATGGAACGCTAATAAAAACCAGTACGTATGGGATTTGGGTCAGGTAATTTCTCAGCTAACTTCAGTCCGAATTGACTTTCACCAAAATGTTACACTGGCGATCACCATTCAAAAGCAATCTCTCTACAGCCCTGATTTAGCTACCAGCTAAAGGCGACTACTACAACTGGATTCAAGGCCATCCGAATCGCGGAACATACGGCGACTGCGTAGTCGCCACGAATCAGCAGTTTGATGTTCGCTGGAAAAGTGGTCACTGTACCGAAGAGAAATACTTCTCCTGCCAGAAACCTGCATGTAGGTTTATGAGTTTTTACAGTGAGAGTGCTTCTAGAATAAAAAAATTTGTAGTGTGCGATAATTCGTAAAAAAAAGTCAACAAACATTATTTACAGGTGACATCAAAAACTTCTGTGAATACGCAAAAAACCCAACCAAAATTGCTAAGTGACAAAGAACAATGGCGAGTAAAGCAAGACTAAAGAACCTGATACATCCGCGTAAACTGATGTTTAAATATTTTCCAAAATAATTCACCTTCGCTAATGAAGCTAACTTTGACGCGAAAAACAGCTACATCAAACGGAAAACCTTCCATACTAATGCATAGCTCACCAGCAATATAATAAAGGACATCTTGCTATATATAACAGCCTTTAGTAATAAAACTGCTCAAACAAAGTTCGAAAGACTCACAAAAACAAAGAACAAATTTATCAAAAAAATTTCAAAAAAGCCTCCGTCGTTTGCGGCCACTGTACTTCGAAGTCTCGCGAACATCTCTAAAAAGCATACTCTACAATGTGCAACTGTATATGATCTGAATAAGCAGTCTGACTTCAAAATTTATACATTTCATAGACCACTTCCAATTCATAAGTGCAAAGTTTCTGCTTAGTAGGATAAACTCTGACGTCAAAAAGAGAAAGGCGAGGAAAGAAGAGTCTACACAACTTACTTTCCCTTCTTCCTTGCTCTTTCCTTCTTCATTTCAATCCAAGCTTTACTGCCTTTCCTAGGTTTCTCCTTAGCCCTTCTCAAAATATTGAAATTTCTGTAAAAGTGAGGATTCATGTTTTAAGTGAAACAGAAGGAAAACAAAGCAAATAACATCAATACACTGTCCTACAGAAAAAGATGATACATTAGCATATCAGCTTATGTCCTTGAAGCTGGGAGTAACAAAAAACAGCTGAACTACCTCCTTCCAACGTTCGAAATGCATTTACCGTCTTCTTCTGCCCCCGTGAGTGCTCTTGGCAGCTGCCTTACGCCTCCTGTCATTAAGACTAAATAAATCCTAAAAAAAATAAGTGTCGATACATCTTTCAAACATTCAAAGAAAGCTTAAATAGCTCCAGTGATTATTTACAAAGCCAAACAACTTGGAAAATACTCAATTTTTAGCCTTGGCGCTGTTGGGGTAATCAATAACCAGGCCTCCACTAAAACCCGCCTTAGCTGCCTGGTCAGAAATCAAATTGCTCTGGCCATCATTTTCCGGATAGAATTGGAACACTGCCCGAGCACCACGACCCTAGAACATAAAAGGCAGCATAATTGGCAATAAGTACCCTCAGAAAATTTTAGAAAATAAAAAACTGTACTAAAGACGAATTAAAATCTCCAAATACTTTACAATAATTACAATCCAAAGAAAAACTTCAGGAGAAAATGAATGTTAAATATGATTACTAAATATTCCAAAACAGAATTTATTTGAAAAGACATATATTCAGAGATCGTACTAGACAAGCATAGAGGGACTGAAAAAAACGCAGTAGTCTTTTATGGGGATTTTCATCACGGGAGTTAGCATGGCATAACCATTGTATAGCTGATATGCTGAAATAATTATGTGGTAGAAACAAAAAAAACACCAAGTCTCATGCTTGAAAAGATGAAGTGAAACTATTAACCAATCAGATATTAAATCACATCCCTCTTCACTCAAAACTTCCAAAGAAATTGGTGTGTAGCCAGCGTGCGCAGCGCATCTCACCACTTCCTAGACGCACTTCAGTTGTTATTAAAACTTATTTACTGTTTAATTTAAGGCGGAAACCATTTAATGCTGCAAACGTCGAAAACCCTTCTATTTTTCCTATACAGATAACTTTCCCAGCTATATTTCCTGTAGAGCTGTGATGGAAAATCTCCAAACGATTGCATGACGATAACTACACTTAAAACCCTCCCTCAGATTAAGGTTTAAAAAGCGGTAGTAGAGTCGAAATTGTTTAGAAGCGGGTGCTTATAAACTGTCATAACAAGTCTTGACATTTAATAAGCGTATCACTTTAAAAATTAGAAAATTCAAGGACTGATTTCAACGCTATAGAAAAAAATACTGACCTCTACAAAGACTGCATTAAAAAAATTACAGGTCACCGTTTAAAATAAAATTCCCAGTAAACAATAACTCTCGTGCTTGTTTTAAAAGCTCCACTTTTGAATGGCTTCATACCACTTTAACCAATTTCCTTATGGTCCTGTAAGCAGGATAAAACCTGTTTGAGCTAAAACTGCAAAAGTCTCAGCTGTTAATGCAGAAAAATCATTTGCTTAGTAGTGAGTTCAATTTTTCAACTACAAATAAATATATTTTTTTCAGCTACGCACTTTTTCCAAATCAGACAACTAGAAAAACTAAGTAATCTATAAAAATTTTTCTCACCAACGGCTGGTTCTTAAATGTTAGGCGTAGACTTTTAGCAGTCACAAACAAACCAAATTTTAAAAGTCCACTTCTCAAGCAAAAGGTGCTAACGCAACCGAAAAAATTATATGTCGCACGCAATACAAAAAACACTTCAAAGAAACAAAAACCGGTTTGTTTACAAAGTCAGTTTCAAGAGCAGCTTCTATTCAACAATGGAGCGGAAGACAAAAACAATTTTCACTGAAAAAGATGTAATAGTTGTGAAAGAAAAGTAGCCAAAATATGCGTATAATTCCTCAGCATGTAGCCGAGATTTTTATATTAAGTTATAAAACGTCTTAGAAAACTGAAAAAACGCTTCGATTTAAGTATCAATGTGGCTCTTTTACAACAATTAGGGCGTAAAGTGAAAAGGTATAAAGTATATGTACGCTACATTTTGTAGTCACTAAGTCAAAATAATTCATGTACATTATGAAAAACGATAATCAATCATTTCAATTGCGACTAATCGTGGTTTTCCTAATTAGTCTACCTTGAACTTATTTCACTTGATTAACTGAGGTTATCTTTTTTTAACAAAGATGTGATTCTCGTTTCATCAAGAAATTTTTTTGATAAAACTTCCCATCGTTCTCATATTGTCTCAAAGTCACCACAACAACGTACTGGTGATTTCCATTCACTCCATATGATAAAAGAACCTTAATGTGTTTCTTCTCTGAAAAAAAACTAGAAAACTTATATTTAGTTGATAGCGCGAAGCAGCTGACATTGAAAGCAATATTCTTTCATGGAAAGTTTCATGAAAAACAGGCAACTACAGATTCACATCAGATGGTTGAAAGACTTCTTAAACCTTCGGTAAACCTTACCTAATGGCTCCATCAAAAGCACCGGCCCTAAAAGAAAGTCCATGACCCATATTGCCCAGCAGAAGATCTCCTGTTACTTCGCGATCATCCTGAGCAACTTCTAAAATAAGGTTCTGTGAAATGATCCAACCCTAATTCTAAACCAACGAATCTTTTTAAAAAACTGATAAAATCAAAGCTATGACACCATGATACGTTCAACAGTTTCAAATTTTACCAAGAATTACAGCCTATTTAAAACCCATAAAGAACATCGTTTCACTCATTCGCAAAAACAGCTTACTTATTAGTCCATTTTCAAAAACCCAAATGAGCCCGAAGAAAAATGGAAAATACACATTATATTTTCTTACTGAGCATGGCATTACTGACATCAATCCCTATCCATTCGTGGCCAGCATCCGAAAGCACATCTCCACTCAACCCAGAGCCACATCCAATATCTAGCAACAAAGCCGGCTGATCGTTCGGCAGTGCAAGAAGTTCAAGTGCGCGCTCTGCCATTTCTGACTGTACCGCAATTATGTGTGAACTAAAGCAATTTTTAAAGACAAAAAAAAAAAAAAAAAACGAGAATCGACTAGATTACAGT